AACCCATGGACTGCGTGGGTAAAGCAGAAGGGGATAGCTGCCTATCCCTGCTATCCCTTTGATTTAATAAATTAGGAGCAGTTTGTTTTTCAAAATTGGGATTTTGTTGTCACCTGTTGCACTGTCTCCAGCATCAACATTCCTCAAGACTCTCTACTGCGTTTTGTTCCCCCTTGTTCTTCTAGTGGAATGTGAGAGTCCTTGCCACTTTCCAATTCTGTGCCACTTGGATAGTGGGCCATGGAAGAGTCCTCCTTAATGTGATTTTTTCACTTCAGTAGAGAGTAGGTCAGTAGTGTTCTGCCAATGTAGATGGCATTTAATCCTCATATCATGCACTCAGTGCAGTCCGAGGGATGGTATCATGCAGAGGTTGATGCTGCACCCTGTTTCTGTGAGGTTCTATGTTTAGGGTGAGATTGTATATCTTTTACAGGGGTGATCCACTTACGTGCGGTGGGACCTGGAGTTTGATGTTGTGCTCCAGCTTTTGTGCAGTCCTTTCCAGAGGATGATGTTGCCTTTGAGTAGATCCATCGCGTTTCAGTTCACCCCTCCGATTAGAATCCCTTGTCCTACCAATACCTGGATGTTGGTTCCCAGTGGGTGGTTTTGGATTGGAGCGGGACCAATCAATATAAATCCTCATACACGTTGGTCATGCTTCCTTATCCTACCTCATTCTAGTAGTTTTGCCTCATGATCTCCACCTTGGTGCAGTGGGTCCTGGAGGTTGATTTTGTGCATACATGCACTCCAATACCTGTGTGGTCTATTCTGGAGGATGATGTTGCTCAAGGTGAGTTATCCTTCTAATGCTCCACTTCCAGGAGTTTTACTACCTGAAGGGATTTGGATTTGATGTGAACTGCCACATTGACACATCCCTTGTTACTGACATTTGGAGGTCAGGTTCCCATATGACTGGTTGCGGATTTCTGTACATGTGCCCTGTTTTGTAGATTGGTTTAGTGAGTATATCCTTCCATTCTGTTCCATTTGAGGTGAAGATGGTGTAAACCCTCCTCCTATTATTGGTCAGAAGATGTATGGCCGATGCTTCTTGGTTTTGGACTGGAGTTGACTGGCCACGAACAGTCTGATATACCCAAGCAATTCTACACCATGGGGCACATTCTTTTTAGTTTACCCACATTCCCTTCAGTGGATGAGGATCCTCCATTAATTTTATCTAGGACTGCTTCTGGTACTTTGTGGGTTTTTCATTCGAAATTACACAATTATTTTTTATGTGATCCTCTTACTTTTCACTTGTGTATGCGACACCTATTTCTACAATGGGCGAGGAGTATACCTTGTACAGAAGTGGTGCAATCTCTCACATGTGTTCCTCTCCAAATGGGGGTCATACTTCAAGGGTTTTCTTTAAAAACTTTCAAAGGGGACTTCTCTATGTCCCTTAAACTGGTTCCTCCACTTGTTCAATGTGGGATTTTAGTTATACCTGTAAAAGGAGGTAAGATACTGTATCAGAAGTTATTTTCCTACACTGAAAATATATTACTGATAGGTACTTTCCTCATCTCACCCCTTCTCCCCACTTAAAACTGGTGATTCCTTTCTGCCTAATCTCGAAGTGAGAGTTTGATGTAACCAAATAGAGGGAGCCACATGCATCAGGAGGGTGTGTCATTCTCCTTTTGTTGGAGGATTGTTGCATGATGATTTACATGCAATGACACTGTGAACCACATTAATTGTGGGATAAGTGGGAGTTCAAAGCTTGTGGCATGTGAAACAATTTTTGCATATAGGGGTAGTACTGAACAAGAATAGCTATATGTGTGAGAGAAGGTACCTATTGGAAATATATTTTCAGTGTAGGAAAATAACTTATCCTCATCATTAACTAAATTTACAAGATGTTCAAGGAGAGAAATTAACACTGCTGTTATTACACTATCTGTCTTATAGTTACACAACAGTCATTTATTTTTGGACTTGTTTATTTGGGTTATTCACAGTTTAATGTTTTTTGGACAAATTGAAAAGAAAACAGGTAAGTATATATTCATGGGTCTGAAACCTACAATGAATGCCCCTCCATCTATTAGTGAAAAATAAACAGAATCAAATTGTTCACTTCCTGACAAACTAACTTGATTTCTGGAAGTTCTAGCTTTTTACTCCCATCTTCATCTTTGGGGCTGTGTGTTGTGAGAGTGATGGTGAAATCTCATTATTTGATTAGAGTAGCCCAAGAGATCATGGTTGGTACTGTTGTCTAACTGCTGTTGCTTTAGTTTATCAATTCAAAATGAAGGATGGCTAATGTAGATAGCCTTGTGTAGCTTTGCATGAATATCCAAAACAGGTAGACACTAACACTGATGAGATTTTAATGTATATTTTCATTCTTTTGCTCTCTCTTTCAGATTCATTACCACCACATCTCATAATGCCTTCCACCACCTTGAAAAATTTGTACAATGTCCTCTAATGGTTTTCTTTGTCAATTCCCTTTTGTCTAGTTTCTTCTCTCTTGTTCTTGTGTGAGTCTTTGTGTTTTATTGGGTTGTCTTGCTAAGCAATACAGTTCTCATCTTTAATCCTATCAGTGCTATATACATATCCAAGTTTTGATAGTTTGGTCTTTAACATTTCCCTGTTACACAAAATGGAGAAGGATGTGGCCATTTAACTGGATTCATCTCTTTCCCTTGGCACATCAGTTTTTTTCTTTTTTTTTAGTTGGTTTGTCAATGTGATTTGGCTGGTACTTGTAACTTCATAATTTCTATGGTGCCCTGGTGTGTTGCGATTAAGTTTCTTTGGACTGTTTAATGTATATATTACTTTATCTGTTGTGTGGACATTTTATAGTAACTGTTAATTGGAAATGCCATACATAGTAACCTCCTTCACTTACGCATTCCCAACTCTCATTTCTTCATTAATATTTTACATCATGATTAGATTGTTCATTATATAAAGTAACAAGTCACTGGCTTACAGTATTTTCCATCTCAACCACAACATCCCACAGATGGGTTACAAAAGTATTTGTATTCATATGTCTGTGTATTAATGATGTCAGTCTGACTCGGGCTCTGATAAGTTGGAGTGCGAGGTGATGTCCATATAAAGAGTACAACTATTTTTTTCATCATACATTTTGCATTTGCATAACCTCTAGAGCTTCTGAAACACATATGTACAGATTTTTTCAGTGTCCATGTATGTTGTGTCCAGTATTTACTCTCTATCACAAACTGTTGCTAAATCAGCAGTGTAGGGTAAAATGAATAGTGGATAACCTCACATCAAATACATAATACCATGTTGAATGATACTGTGTAAGAGGTCATGGCATGCACACTTTAATCCCTACCTGTACACTTTTAATATATTCCACACAGCAAATTAGATTTTATGGATGTTTACTTAAGGTTTCTGTGTCATCCTGCTACCAGCTACATGTATATGTAGTTAATGTTTTAAATAGAGTTTGTGGCAGCCTGAACTATGTTATTTAAGGTGACAGTGAAAGTTTGTTTTCATATTGCAATTTCATAGAATGTTTTTTAATCGAAATACATGAAAACTGAAAACATATATTATTTGTAATATTGGTCTTATGCTATATTTGTTTTTTTGACGATGAAGCACTGTACCTTTTTTATAAGGCCACTCAAAAACGTAAGTCTGTTGGAACAGTACTGCAATTAATTTAAAATAATATAAACACAAATTTATGATTCTTAGCAGCTAGTCTACTGAAACCAACATTCAGTTTTAGGATTTTGTCCTTTAATAATGATGTTAAAAAAAAATCCTGGTGTGTGGTGCTCTCTTGAATAAACTACTTGATGTGACTGTAACCAAACGTACTGTGTTGTTTCCATATGTTGATGAAGAGTGATCTATAAACCAGTAGTTTGTGTGATATTACATCACAATAAGACTGATAATTTTTGACAAATCTTTCTTTACCTATATAGTTTTCCAGTAAGAAGAATATAATAGCATTTCAGCAGCATGTGGTACACAAATGTGCAGTTGAGAAATCATATACAGTGGCTAAGACTAGTAAAGAAAGATTTGTTAAAAATTACCAGCTTTATTTTGATGGGGATCCAGACATTTAACTACTGGACATTTTATTAGTGCCACATTGTTACTAGGACAACTTGTGACATGGCAGTTTTTGTAACAAATACTGATTTTATGACAGGTACTTTTTAGATATATTGGTACTTTTGACAGGTACTTTTAAAATATCAATTTTAAATTGATTGGTGACAATGATAAAAAAATTATAATGGATCATAAATTGTATCATCATTTGGAAACCATTCAAAAATTACATAATGCTATGAGGACGAGAAGGTGTCTAAGCCAATATTATGATGTGTTACAGGGGGGTAAGGGGTGCTATAAACAGTGTTACATAAAACATAAGTTACAGTGAAAACAATTTAGGTCTACAAAAACATTTATTATAATCTAACATTCTTTGATTTGAATTCAAAATACCTTTAATAACTTGTTTAGTCAGATTTTACATGTATACTAAGCTAAGTACTTGTCAAACTTAATATTTTTTATCTCTATATACGAGATAAAATTTGTCAAACTGGAAAACTTTTGATTCCTCTCTGCAAGAAAGGGGTGAGGTTATGTCCTCTGGTTTTTGAATTAGTAGTGGTAAATCTAGAAACAAAATTCACCAATCACCAGAAACACGTGTAAGGTAACCTTTCATAACTTGGATGCCGTAACAAAAAGTCCATATCAAAAGCTGTCTGTAATGAAATTTCCCAGACTCATTTTGATGTAATACTGTTGTATTGTTCAAAAGAGGTTATTCTTAATTTTTACATTAATTTTGTGATAACAGGATGTGAAGAGATGCTATTATATTGTGTTTTTATGTAATCAGTTGTAACTACAGTTATCTGTATGATGCTCAAGTGTTTTTGTAGAACAGATTGTTTTTTATTTTGTTTTTCACAATTTTCAATATTTGTTTTCTATAGGAAAGAAGCGTGTGAGTCAGTGTCAGAACACACACACGTATTCTAGGAAGCAATGGTTGTTATCACCACATTTCCACCTCCCACAGAAGGAATCCGTCATCAAGAACCAAATATAGCGGCACATATTAAGTCAAAAGATTTAGGAAAAGGAACTCTCTACATAGCAGAGAGGTAAGCAATATACATATTTATGTAAAAACTGATAACCTTTCAATCATTATGTTAATCATATTGGATAAGAAATCTCACGTCATGACCTGCTAAGAGCTGCTGTTTCTCGGCTGTGTCAAGTCTCAACACCCAGGTTGCTAATGAAAAATGTGGTCCAAGAAAGTTTTCCTTTTTGTGAACATCTTTAAATGTAAGAAAGAGCTTGTTGTAGATTGTATTGAAATTGACAAAATTTGTATTTCTTCATAAAGGTGTTTGAGACTAGTTTTCAGCTAGATATAGCATTTGGGTGTTCTTTACCATATGACTTTTTGGTCATGATGTTAAATGTATTTACAGCTTATAACTGTATCAGCTGTTGTCTTTCATTAGGAAAGAATAGACAGATGTGTATATAAATATAATCTACAGTGTATGCTAAAATCACCTATCACATCGTACACATATTTATCAAAGAATATTTTCTATTCCCAGTGGTGATTTTAATTGTGCTTTGCAGTTGTGATAACCACTGGTCATATTCAATAAGCATGTACTGTCAAGAGTTTATAGATTGGAAGATGAAGGCCAGCTTAACGATGTATCCATATGTGGAAAATGTTTAGGGCTATTATGAACTTACACTTAACAAACTTTATTCAAAGATTCAATAAGATTTTTCAAAATTTATTTGTAAAAAATGTATCTGAATTTAAAGTTTAAGAGGTGGAAAAAAACTTGACATTGATGTTAAATGTCTAGTTTTGTCTTGTCACTCATTACATGTGGATGTAAGAAAGGTAGTAGTTTAACATTAAAAAATTGAAATAATGTTTGCAACCTATAGAATACCGTTAAATTTGTTTTTAAGCTAAGGAACCTAAGACAGAAATATTTTATGTAGAAGAAATAAAGAAATAATTGATAAAAAGAATTTGTACATGTATTTTTAATTCTTATACAATTCACATTATTTCAATCAAGGAATGAGCTTTTTTAAAATTAACATTCATATGCAAAAATATTCAAAAAATAATTCATTTTTTATCTTACATTGCCACAATTTGCTGAAAATCAGACAATCGTTATTTTAAAGAAATAATATTATAATAAAAAATATTCTAGCATCAGAATTTAAAAATCAAATGATGCTTGTATTTGTACAATAATGGCTTTCAGTTTGAAGATCCTACACTTTAGGAATAGCTATATCAGTGTTCTCGCAGATGATATATTATAGTATGACATAAATAGTTTTGTGTGTTTGTAAAAATAGTATGTTCACAAAATTTTGTCCACCATATATACAATTTAAACTAAAAACTACTTAATGTGTTTTTAACTTAGTATTTTAATTAGATATTTTTTGAAGTATTTACTTATTCATTCCTGTCTTAACACTTGTTTTTTCTCAGCTAGATGAGTCATACAAGAGTTTCTCCAACTTTCAATACTCTAGATTTATGACTGAACTTAGTATGTAGCCTTGTGGTTAGCATGTCAAGTTGCAGATTAGAAGGTCCAAGCTGCTGAACAGTTCATATGTGCTGCTGAATATGCCTTGCTTTTTCAGCTGTTGACCATTATAACAATGAGAGTCGATTCCACTTTTCAGTTAAGAGTAGCCTTTCTGGTAGCAAGTGTTGCTGACTGGCAAGCAGCTCTAAATTAAGAATGGCTATGCCTGAACTTCTGGATGTCTGACCCAGTTGTTAATCTTTTGTCATATATGGTGTTCTTCAGGCTGAAAATAACAAACACCTGATAAAAATTTAATGTAATTTGAACAAAAAATACTTATTAAACTATACCATCAAATGGAGAAATTATGAATGCCACTGTTAATCAAGCTAAGCAACTTCAAACACTTTTTCACAAATGAAAAAATATTAAGATGGCTTTATTAATCTGAAGAATGCCAGACAAACCCTTCATATTAAAATCATGTAAACTTTTGAGTTTTATTTGTCGTTATCACAATATTTGGGCTGATTGAAGTTGTTATAGCTGAGAAAATGTAGTTCTAAGCTGTTTTTTGGTAGTTACTCAATATGAGTATTGTTTTTATATGACTATTATACTATGTAGGTGTTATGTTGTTACAGGAATTGATTTTTCATTAATTAAAATCAGTTTACTTTAATAATATATAGATTATATTTTTCCCTCTACATTAAACATTTAGTCGAGTTTCTTGGGTTGGAGAGAGTGGTCAAGGATTTTCTTTGGAGTATCCATCTATCACACTTCATGCAGTTTCTCGAGATTTGAATGCTTTTCCCCGCGAATGTCTGTATTTAATGATTGATGCTGATTTGGAAACCAACGGTATGTTTCTGTTATTTATATTGCAGTATGATCTGTTTATTAATTTTGTGCAATTATCATTGCAACAGGGTCTTTGTATCACACCTTTGTATCATTGGTAATTTTACATATTTTGATACTTGTCTTTATACAGGAATAAAAGGTTCAGATATTTTAACCAAGTTCTTTCATTTCACATATGTAATATTAATGTTAAGATCACAGTCTAGGAGTCTGAATTTGTACACTGAGTAGGTTATTACAGCATAATGAAATAAGTAAATAAATATGTGTGTGTAAAATAAAGAAATACACTATTGGTGATGTGTAACATAAAAATAAATTTTGAAGGGAAAGTAAACTTACCAATTATTTTGTCTTCAGCATCAGTACAGAATTGTCTTCATTCACTTTGTGCTGTAAATTATAAATGTATTTTTGTGTTCGGATTGAGGAGAGGCTAAGAACTAAAAAAAAGTTACATAGGCTAAGACAATTTGTGTTTGAATTGAGTGCATGAAGTAAGTAAATTATTAGGAGGTTTGAGGTTGAATGATCCTCATACTTCAAGCCATGTATTATTGCTAAATAAAGCTAAGAACAGATGGAAGAAATACATAAATTTACTGAAATTAAAGAATGTTTTAAAACTTAAATTTAGCTCCCAATTTAGGCTTTACAAATCAGAAATACAAAAATTCATGCAAGTCTCATCATGAATGAATGTAAACAAGATCTTCTATTTTTTAAGAAATATTTATTGTTTTACTCAAACTTTTCAAAGTTAATAGGATGACAATAAGAATAAGTGATTGTCACATGAATAGGTTTCACACTAATAATATATTGTAATTTTCAAAACAATAAATTGTACTGCATGGTATGAAGAAGCAAAGAAATTTTCTGTAATTTCAAATAAACCCAAAAATTATTAAAACTAAATAAACTGAATCAGAAATTATTTTAAGACTTGAAATGCCAATGAAAGTAAATTTACTATCACGTACAATAGTGATAATTGGTAGTCGTTCTTCCAGTCTTCTGTTTTGGAACTGCTATTTAACTATACTAAAGAACCCATAGATTGTGACTTAACATTTCTTTAAAACAATTATGTATGTTTATTTTACATTTACAGACCAAAATTAACCTGATCAGCATGTTTATGGAATTTGTGATAGTCCCTATGTTCTTCATAGTTTATTACAAAATGTCCTAAATTTTTCATGAAATTTTAACATGATTTTCATGTAACTACTCCATTTCCTTTCAAAGATTTTGAATTACAAGTAACAGTTTGTACACTAGCATAATTCATGGTCTAATTGTTTATGTTGTTAACTATCATAAACTAATTCTTAAAACCCTTAATTTTACTGCTTTACATTTTCAATCTTACTTGTACAGAACTTCTAAATTTTATGCTAATTATCCAAGAAGTTGATGTCTTTTTGATTAAATAACCAGCAATAACAGTGAGGTGACAACAAAACAGCAAATGACTGATTAGACATATGTATTATCACCTAACTATATGTGAAGAATAGTTATTATAGGATAGGAAAATATTTCTATATCATGATTTTTTTGGGTTCAGATGAAGAGGAAGGACAACAGGAAGAGAATGAAAGAACTGTAGAAAACAAGACCTCCGAGGTTCGCTTTGTTCCTGAAAACACTGGAGTTTGTAAGTGTAAATATTAAAGTTTTTCTTCACTTCCCAATGGACATAATGAAAGTTCTTTAACATGCGATATTTTATTTTGGATAAATTAAACTTTTTTTATTGATTATTCCTGTCACTTTAGCATTTCTTAGGTCATGAGCTGCTAATGGAAAAGAAATTATGCTAAAACAAAATACTATTTAGTAACACAATTTAAACAATGTTACGATATTACTTATACATTTTCAAACTCATGTTTTTTATATAAACTTAATAAACTTTTTACCCTAAAAAACAGAAATAATAAAAACATCATCAGATGTCGGCTAATTGAATACGTCTTTCATTGTTGGAAAAAAAAATACTTTAAGAATACACAATATTTGTCCAAATATGTAGGAAGTATAAAGAAATATCAGAACTGTCAAGATGGAGTACTTACTTTAAATATTTTTCTAACAGAAAAAATTTGTATTTTTTCTCCAGAAATTGAGTTAGGGGCCATGTGAATCTCTGTTTAGAGTCTGTTTTTAAGTCCTGATGGTACTTTGTTATTTTTCTATTTACAGAATTAAAAGATTTTGAAATTATCTCTGTAGTAAAAGGAATATTATCGTAATGGTTAGAAGTATAGTGTGAGCCAAAATGCTCATATTAATTCCTTTTCTTTACATCTCTGCTGTGTTACGTGATACTTTTTTGTATAGGTCTACATGCGAATGCATACACAGCGATATCCCTTTAAACAGGAATCTTGCACAACCGGGTTTCAACAAAACAGCCAACTGTTCAGTCAGAATTGTTTCCTCTGGTAACATTATCAAACAAAGAGTATGGATAAAATTAAACACAGCTTCAGTGAAATGGATACACAGCTTACACCATTAATAAAGTCAAAAATAAAAGTGGAAAGAAAAAGTAATCTAAAAATCTTTCTCTCACTTTATCACTACCATTTGTCAATGGTAACCCAGAAGAAAATAAATACTAAAGTGCAGCAATTTTAATGTGAGAATTTTACAAAAGACAGATATTACACTTAAAACACTTTTTTTTTGGTAAAATCAGCATTTCATCCTGTTCCTTGTCTAGGTGAAAACTTAAGAACAGAATGATAAATGCACTTTAAACAATCATTGTTCATAGACTAACATGTATATTGTACGGACAAAATTATATCAGTGATATGTTTGATGTAAACTTGTGTGTCAGGAAACCATCGGAGTGCAACACGTGCTGAATATCCAGGAGCAGCAGCTGCCTTGTTTTTGCTGAATAGTTCACAGTAAATTTAATTTTTCCATGAAATTCATTCATGAGTCCAGACAAAAAATATGCCATCTATTTATCTTTTATATAATACTCGTGTTAGAGAACCTTTAGAGAGAAGAAAAGTTCCAAGAAAGTGCATAAAAATGATGGTAAAAGAGGTGTGAAAGAAAACACTAAATACAGACAAACCCCAAGTTATGTTAAATGTTACGTTACTTTAATTCATATTAATACTCTGTGAAATCCAAAATCGTACTTGGATTTCACAATTGAAGTATAAAGCAATCTAAACCTTAAGTAGTGGAGCCAATGGTACACTCTTAGATTTATTAACTTACTGTGAACCAGTGCTATTATAATTAGTACTGTGAATAATTGCTACAACACAATTTAGATTTCGATTGCTTAATGTAAACACAACAACAACTTTAAGCTAGAGGTATGTTCACAAGTCACTTAGGCTCAACTTAATGTAACAATAAAAGTAAAAGTATAAAGAAAATACAGCAGAAACTAAATGTTACTACCAAATATCTACTGAAATGCAATTGAAAAACCAGCAGACAACTAAGGAGAAATGAAAATTATGTAATTTATTATTAAATCTCTGTGAAATTATGCAAATTCTGCTCTCCTAAACCCCAACACTGTCTTAAATATACTGATAAACTTTCCAGTTTCTACAAGTGAAAACATTGATTGATTCTTGTTAGATCAGTTAGCCAACAGGTTATGAAGACCATTCCATTCACAACTATTATCCAGTTTTGGCAATAAAAATGCTTGGCTCATTTATTAAAAACAACATTGTTATTCCCACAAGTGAACTAGATAAGCAGCTTTGGCCTTCACCTATACTTCCATTAACCACATAAGGAAAGTTAAAATTAGTAACCGACTTAAATGCAGTGTGTTGAACCAAGGAAATATGAAAAAAAAATTTTTTACTTTTTAACTAAAGAGGTGGAAAACATGTATGTCCCTATAGTGCACAACATATGCAATTTCAAACAAATACAGCTAATAGTCTGCTTTATCTAATACCGTGTAATAGATATCTAGGAGGGCCCTGTCTTTTTTGGGTTGATATGGGGGTGGTGGCATGTTTAATAGCATTGTCCTTTTTTCTTTTTTTATATATTGGAGATCGAGAAGTAGTTACTGTTAGTTATGCCTCATACACTGAATGGTGATTCCATTTGTATGGTGTGTGGTTCCATGGCTGTTCAGATGAAGATTGTGTTAACTTGGGTTTGGACCCATCAGCAATATAAATTTTTTCTCTTTTAACCTGCCATTTGTGCCAATGTAATATTAAGCTGATGCGTGTGGGAGGATCATAAGTGCATATCACAGCCTATTTACAAAGTTACATTCATTATTATCAATGTATGTAAATAAGCTTGGCATCAAAACATAATTAATAATTCAAAGTTTTATATATTATCGAAGTTTTAATATCAAAAGAAAATATTTAAATAAATTCTTGATCTTAACTTCTCTGTATCATAATGTCTGCTCCACACTGCCTATTTTAGATTCTATTTTTACTCCTATATGATCTTCTGATGTCCCAGTAATTACACATTTATTACATAAATATTATCAATCAAGAATACATATTTCTAGCCTTCAAGCTTTTTTCTTTGCTGAGATATAAAAAGAAAAGTCAAATCCACATGCTACACCCCCTTCTGTCTCATGCTAGCTAGCTGTCTCATGCTAGCTTTTGGTTTTTACCATAAGAAAGAACAGGTTGATTGTGTACAAGATTCATTAGAGGGCCAGTTGAATTATAGTTGTTTTAGGATATTGTATTATGTTACTTTTATATGTTTTGTGCTCTAAAATTTATGTTTGAAAGCTCAAAGAATTTTTATTTGAAGAACTAACTTAGTGAAAAAAATGAGGACTTGCTCAGTTATAGTTTGCATTTGGGAGCATCACATGGGCCTTGTACTTTGTTTGTGGTGATTACAACCTGTGGCTAATTACTTTCAACTGTATTTATTGTTTTATGATGAGAGGATTAGTGCTCCAGTAGGTACTAAATACAACAAGTGAACCACAAACTTACAAAAAATAGATGTAAAAAGGTTAACAGTTAAAAACTATGAAAATAAAAACTACATGAAACAAGGGAGTTGTGCATCAGAAGAAGAAAACAAGATAGTGTTCATTTTATTTCATATTTTTCAATATTCCACTTCATTGTACATCAATCATGATTTAGGATTTCATTATAGTTAGTGTTAGGGTAGAAAAAATAGATAAAGTATAAGGTTTTACCAAAAAAAACTTTATATTCTTTAGGATGTTTTAGAGGTTATGCTAATGAAATATGAAACTGTAAGATGAAAAAAAAATTCTTATCATAAAATTCATCTTTCACTCAGTAAAGGCTTCAGAAATTCAATGCCAAATCTTTAGAAAATTCTCATTTTTTGTGTACATCAGACCATTCATGTTTAGTAAAAGCTTGTCAAGTTTCATGAAGTTACGTGCAGTAAATTCATAATTATAGTAAATATTAATTCTCCAGTATGGGGTTGGTCTCGTAGACTGACCCTGTGCACCTAGGGTTAATTCCAAGAATTGTTGACTGAGATATGTAGTGTATTGATTATTTAGCAAGTGTAATGCCTTTGCTAAGCCAGTTATATGTTGCAATGTCAAGCCCAAACATTGTAATTTTGGTGTCCTGCTTCTGCCCTTTAGATTATAAATAAACAGTATCCTGCAACAGAAACAACGGTTTAATATGAATTATGTACAATACATCTACATATGTGTGTAATCTTGGTTCATCTGAGACATCAGCATATTAACACACCAGATCTTGCTGATTTGAGTGTTGAATGTGTAGCAGTGAGAGGCTGAGATGCTTGCATTTGCTGCTACTTCTCCCCCTAAACATCAATGGTGTAGTGAAAAGGGGTTGGAGAGATGTGTTACTGCTTTAGAAAGTGATATGTAGAAATTATCAGTAGCTATTTCATTTTGTATTTCATAACCATCTTTACAAAAAATGTCCAAAAGTTTGGTCAAATGGATAATTTCATGTCTGTATATGATACATTTCTCTTGAACATCTTTACAAAACAAACCAAAGTTTCTTTGAAGCTTTCACATCCTACAGGTGCAGACGACCTGTAATAACATGTAATAGAAAATCAGTGGCTTGCTCAGAGGTTATGAAATTGGTAAAGGTTATCTGAAACCTGCCTTTTGGCTGATTCTGGTTTGGTCAGCAATCATGTAATGTGTGATAACAGCTTTTATGGCTACATAATCAGTGGCTTTGAATATGTGCAAAAATGCTTTCATTTGTTTTTCTTTCTTCTTTTTTTTTGTTTTAAATATAGATGTTTCCCATAATAGACCTAGTGAAAAGGCAAGCAAAGATTTCAGTGATCTGATTCTTAATGGTTGCTTTAGTTGTGAATTAATGGATCCCAAATCTATTGTAAAGATGAACTAATATTAATTGCTTACTTTGACTTTCACCACCAGTATTTACATATATTTCAGTCTCCTTGCAAAATCTGGAAGTAACAAGCAGAACATGCTGTGATCCTGATGGGTCACTAGAAATAGGTGTTCCAGAATGTGTGTCCTCAGGTACTTTACTTGTGATGGAGTAGTAGTATGCTGTTCCATAGAGCTGAGCAATTAGTGGTATCTGCCAATCAATTAATCAAAAGCCTCAATTAGTACAATGTTCCTTAAATTTCTTTTAAGTACAAGCA